CGCCGCCCCCTCCCCGGCAGAAAAAAAACCCCAAAATTTGGATTTTTCGAGGGATTTTTTCGGCGCGAGGCCGAGCCCCGGTGTTGCCATGGGAACGCGGCTCCGTTTAAAACCGTCCCCGCCCCYCGAGGTGGCCACGGGGAGGGGTTTGGTGGCCACGGAGCCACCTCGGGGTTGGTGACAGAGCGGCCGCGAGGAGAAACCCCAAAAAACCCCAAAAACGCCTCAAAAACGCCCTCGAAATCGCAAAAACCGCCCCAAAACCCCGAAACTGCCCCAAAATCACAAAACCCGCTCCAAAATAAAAAAAACACCTCAAAACCACCCCAAACCCCTGCAAAAACACTCAGAAATCCCAAAAACCACCGCAAAACCCTGAAAAGCACTTCAAAATCCCAAAAAACTGCCCTGAAATCCCAAAACCAGCCTCAAAAACCCCCAAACGCAGCCAAAAATCCCAAAAACCGCCCCAAAATGTCAAAACTGACTCAAAAACCGACTCAAAATCCAAAAATCACCGCAAAACCCCTAAAAACCACCCCGAAATCCCAAAACCGCCTCAAAACCTTCTCCAAATTCACAAAAAGCGTCTCGAAATCTGAGAAACCACCTCAAAAATCACCCCAAAACCCCCCAAACCGCCTTGAAATCCCAAAAAAGGCCCAGAAAAAAAAAACTAAACACTACAAAACCCCCAAACCGCCTCAAAAACTACCCCAAAATCCCCAAAACCGCCTTGAAATCCCAAAAACTGGCCCAAAATAAAAAAAAAAACCTCAAAAACCCCCAAAACCGCCCTGAAATCTCCAAAACCGCCTCCAAAACCGCCTCAAAAACTACTCCAAAATCCCAAAAACTGCCCCAAAATCCAAAAAAAACCACCCCGAAATCCCAATAAAAATCCCAATTCCCGCCGGGATTTTCCGTCTCGCGAGCAGTGCCAAAACCCCCCCGGGGCTCTGTCGCGACAGCGGCGACAGCGGCGACATTCCCGACAGCCGGAGCGACGCTTTTGTCCCTAAATCTGTGACTTTTGTCCCCAAATCCGCGACTTTTGTCCCCAAATTCCCGCTTTTTTCCCCAAATTCCCAGTTTTTATCCCCAACTTCCCGCTTTTTGTCCCGAAATCCGGGACTTTTGTCCCAAAAATCGAGACTTTTGTCCCGAAATCCGCGATTTTTTCCCCCAAATGCCTGACTTTTTGTCCCCAAATCCGTGATTTTTGTCCCCAAATTCCCGCGGTTTGTCCCCCAAATTCCCGACTTTTGTCCCCAAATTTCCGACTTTGTCCCCAAATCTGTGACTTTTTTCCCCAAATCCGCGGCTTTTGTCCCCAAATCCGCGGCTTTTGTCCCCAAATCTGTGATTTTTGTCCCCAAATCTGCGATTTTTTCCCCCAAATCCCCAACTTTTGTCCCCAAATCCCCGCCGTTTGTACCCAAATCCGCCGCTTTTGTCCCCAAATTCCCGCTTTTTGTCCCCAAATCTGCAATTTTTGTCACCAAAACCGTTACTTTTGTCCCCAAATCCGCGATTTTTGTTCCCAAATTCCCGCCGATCCCTCCCGACCCCGGAAACGATCGATTTTGCCCCAAAATCGGGTCCCGAGAGAGGCGGAAATATCGCGATAGACGCGGAGATGTCGCCTGATTTTAAAATCACCTGATTTAAAAAAAAACCCCAA